TACCCGTCATTAGGTTTTCCTCAGAATTGAACGTTCTACAAAAGTCACCATTGCGGTTATAACTTGCACCTGCGGTGTAGTACGGGCCCCCAAATCTAATTTTTCCATCAAAAATTTTTAGACTTATCTAGAACACGCTTAATGACACCCAGATACTTCATAAATCAGTTATAATTTATCCTTGACATTTTGGGAAACTATTTTCATGTCGACAATTTTTAGCGTACGATTCAAAATTTGTCTGAAAAACATGTGTCTACATATACGAGTACAAGTGTCTGTGTTTTGTAGGGGGCTGATATATGGAGTGGGTGAAAGCCTAAGGCTCATAGTATTTTTTGAAAAGTTGTGTTGAGCTTACGCAACAGAGGAAGGAAATGGGTTAAGGTCTAGTAAAAAGAAATCCATTAGGCCAGGATTGTAAGGTGGATGTATAGGAACTCTGAGCTTCTTGTGAGAATGAATACTGTAATTTTATAGAACCTTCACATTTTCGGTAATGAATTTTTCAACACTTACGAACTCGGGAATTCGCTTATTTTCTATTTGCAGAAATAAATTTTCCGAACTTTCTTTAATTTTTATGATATTTAAATAACAGAATAGTTTTACATACGTTAGGTGACTGAACAAAGTATTTGTGATATGTACTTATGTATTATATATATAAATAAGCGATTGTTAATTAATTATTGATTAATTATTTTTTATATTGTATTCATATATGACAATCATAAAGCCAATCTAAATCACTATGTAACAACACTATAATTCAAATATATATGTATATACAATACGTATATATGTATGTATGTACATAAGAATCAATATACATGATATCCACTTATGTCGTGGCGAAAATAATTATATTTAGAATTTCACAAAATTTTCTACTTTCAGCGCATTCAATATTTAGTCATTTTTGAGTTGCTCTAGTGGACGTGTCGTTTCTATAATTATTTTCGTGTGTGTTTCACCAAATATTTCGTGAGTTTATAGGCCTGTATGTACAAAAAATACATATAGGATATATATGTATATATTTAAATACATTTGTATGTATGTATATGAATGCGTGAGACAAATATGTGCTTACTGAAAAATATATCATCTGAATATTGCCTTCACTTGCGTTATTGTGCAAATGAATTATAGAAACTGTGTTGTAATACTCCAGAAGTCAATAATAAAAAACAGTTTTAGTTCACAAGGAAAACTTATTGAAGGTTTTAAATATATACATATATATATATAAACATACGTCTATTTCACTTTGAGTATATTTATAGAACAAAGTAAATAACTAAAGAAAATATATGTATATATTTATTTATACATACGTTATTTTTATGTGACCTTGAGCGATCCCATGTACTAAATATTTTACGCGAACAAGTTAATGTGTGAAAATCTAAGCTTTCAAAACAATTATCTATCTGCATATTTATATGAAAGAATATCAATGAAGCAGTAAAAGAGAGAAAACGTTTGAGTTCTAGTGTTTTAGAATACAATACAACTCCGAAGTGGTACTTATAGATAAGTGATAAAAATATTCAAAAATATATTTTCAGAATTACCTAATACTCATTTTCCCCATTAAGATGATGAATAAAGTAATATATATATATTATCTTATACATAATAGTGCCACTATACTTGTAGTACTAAAGTAACAAAAGTTTGTATGTCTAGCAGTAGCACCATCTAACAATAATTATCGGCAGAAAATATAATTATACTAGCTTTACCCGCTGCTTCACCCGCATTAAATTTGCTAAATAAATACTAAACCTCATTACCAAAAGCAAAATAGTAAATACATAGAATGTACACAATATAATATACCGCTCTGATCATCTTCGTGGTGGTGTTGTTACCACAAAAACCCACTTAGTTTAGGAGCTTACCCCGGATATAACGTGACACGCAATTTTTATACATATATGATGTTTAAATTTTAAATTTAACATACTTGCCAAAATAAATTTTTAAAATTTTCAATGTTAACAATCTTATCTGCCAAATTAAATTTTTTCACAATCCGCAAAGATATATCTCTTTTAATTATATGCTATGAATACTACACATATTCTAAAGTTTCATGATGGTTGGTTTCGGCGTGAAAGCGTAACAAACGAACTTACGCTGACATTTATAATGATTGTAGGACTTTGTCTGAAAATAACACTTTTTTTAACATTTTGAATATAAATACATTAAATATAACATTATAATTATTAATAGAATTATAAGCTAATTTATAATACAAAATCAGTAAAAAAAAGTATTCCGTCACAATGAAGCTTTAAAATTAAATTTTTTCTTACCCTCTGAAACTCGTATTAGCTGTACGATTGAACTAACACGTATCCTTAAATTTAATTTTCGATTTTTACATTTTCCAAAATAGTGGGGTTAGCATTTCAAAAAGCCTGTGCCATTTTTAACGTCATTATTATATTCTCGCAATATATTGCACAGAGGATAATATTTTTATTCATCTAATAGTTGTTTGTAACACCTAAAACGAAGCGCGATAAATATGTTGTTATACTTACATATATGTACGTTATATTTACATATATGTACGAGTATATCAAAATTTACAGGATGACGAAACGAATTGAATTTCGAATGTCTGTCTGTTCATCCGTCTGTCCGTGAAAGAGATAACTTGTGTAAAAATTGAGATACTTTGATGACACTTCGAACACGTGTTAGTTGCACCATTGGCACGTCCATTAAGCGAAAAACTTTAAACTATATTTAATTTACACTCAGCTATAGGAAAGTACATACCGATATTACAAATTTTTACTTACGGATGCCAAAGAGAACAAAAAAGATATAATAATTAAACTAGGTGACGTTATGACCCTTGTATAATTTAATCAGACCACAAAATATGATTGGAATTCATTCACATTTTCTTGGAATACCGAACTGAAATCAAGAGCACCTTTTCAAATACAAGTTTTATCAATATCCAAAGAGCCATGCAAACCGCGAGAGAAATATATTATTTGGCGCGCCCCAACAAGTATTACAATTTTTTATATTTTATGAACAATGCAAAGCTTTTTTCTTAATATACGGGGTGCGTTCTAAAACATTACCGTAGCAAGTAGCTAACTGGGGGTCTATATATGAAGGTATCTAGAACAATGTAACACATTTTGTTTATAATGCGTTTTCAACGAATATTTTTCGAGTTATCGCGTCACATTCAACTAAGACCGTCCCATCTTATGAAGTTAATCCACGAAATTGTTTTTCTCCGAGGTTGAAGAAATTCATTAGATCAGATCAGATTAATATTTGACACAATAATGAATGAAAAACTTTGCAAAACGGTTCAGAAAAGTTAGTTTATATAACATCCACATTAAAATCATGCACGCAATGTCATTGATTCCAGGAATCGCATTAACTCGCTGAGAATATCATGCACGCAATATCATTGATTCCAGAAATCGTATTAACTCGCTGAGAAAAGTTCAGTTCTTAAAAATATTCGTTTATGACGGTTTCTTTGAATAATTTTCGTTAAGAGTACTTGTATTTGAGTCGGCGTTGAGTTCGACTTGTAGAAATCAGTGAAACGATTGTAGTGACATTTGTTGTTAAGACCAGAGTATTTCCAATGAATTTTTAGCTGAAAAACCAAAAAAAAAACTTTTTTTTAACAAAAAATGCGTTTTATTAAATACTCTAGTTTGGTATAGTCAAAGTTATTTATTGTGAATACCTGGATTTGTAATTGGCAAACATAAAACATGAAACCTAGTGCAAAAAGATGGGAAAACTGTAGATCTTAAAAGTGAAATTTTGTTCATTGGCAAAGTTGCAAAGAGATTCCTGCCGTAATAAAGCGGTAGGAGTTATACTAGAAACATCGGTCGTCATACAAGTATATTATATGTAGTTGTGCCCAGCATTATCCAACCGTTGCATTTAGCCGATCTGACTTCAAAGTATAATTCCGCTGAGTATCCCATTATTTCAACCCTCCATATATTTATTTTGACATACCTAATAATTAGGAACCTTAACATCGATGAGAATTTCGTTGCTACTGACGTTATAAAATTAGGATCTGTCAAGTGATAATCATTATAGCATCCTCAGCATTCTGACTAAAGGTTTTTTATCATAAAATATACATTACTACTATTATTTTCGAATACTACAGTGTCAGTTCCCTTTACTATAATATTGAAATAACTTATTTGTATACTGAAAGTAAAATTTCAGAAAGACGTGCGAAACCTGAAATGGTTACATATTACATGGAAAGCTGTTGGTTTCATTTGCTTTTATTAGCTGGGTTGAATATGGTAGCCATAATAGGCTAGTTGGCTGGCGTGTCGAGGTTAGATTTTACGAATCTTTTTATTATCTTGTTCTTTAAAGACATATGTATAGGAAAGATTCGATAAGAGACTAATTTCTGTACAAAGGCTATGCTTTTGATATATTTTTGCAAGTAAAACTGTCGTTGGGCATTCGCGAAAAAATATCAGAGTAACGAATTTCGGAAAATAGCGAATTATTTTAATTATCCTTACTTGTGCGTAGTATTTTAGTTGCCATAGAAAGTACTAAAGAGTGGCTTTCAGCATAATTTCACAAACTCTTTATTCCAATTACAGTAAAAAAAGAAAGTGAATCATATAAATTCCGTTTAGATATATATGTATTATGTGTATTATGTTTAGATAATTATACATTGTGTTAGAAAGAAGCAATAACGGAAAAACTAAGAATAGTTATAAGGGGGTGATACTAATGAAGCATTTATCAAAAAAAGATATAAGGTTTAAGCCGCTTAGGAATGTTACCGCATTTCATTTATTGAAATTTGTTTACATAAATAATTTTAGCTCTTATCGTAACAACATATTCCATATCCAAGTACCTTAATAAATAAAGTTTACAGTATAAATTAACGCATTATACAATATAAATTATTATTTCCTCCAATATTTTCAATTTAGCAAATATCCAAGGCGATTGGAGACGACAAAAATCTTTGCGAACATTTAAAGTTACCAATTCAGAGAATAAATGACTACCAGTTTTTATTAAAGGTAAAGTATAATGTTTGATTTTTTATATGCGGTTGTTTACGTTATTTTCTTGGGAGTAGGAATTCGAGTTAACTATAATCCGCTTTATCTATGTAACTATTAATCAATTGTATTGCAAGCATTCGCAAGCAATTAAAACTAACACATTCGTAGGTTGTACATATACATATATGCATTCAAACACCAATGTATACATATAAACGGTGTAACAGCTTATAAATTGTTAAAAAAATTTCGCCGCTTACACATGTTCTAATGATTTCATTTACTAATATATCCACCTACAAAGGCATATTTTGTAATATATGTTTGATATATCCATAAAAATGTCAGTAAAGTTAATTTCCCATATTTACTTACTTATATAATATATACATATGTATGTACATATAAAATTGGATGATAAATTGTTTTTTTGTTTAACCATTTGATGTTATTTGACGAATGGGTAAGTTTTTTATATGCTTAAAAAGCCGTTCTTGCCTTCGATTGGTTGTTGTATTTCTGATTTCAAAATTGTTGTTCTGCACCTCAATGCAGATCTGCGTGGCATATGAAATTTGAATTTATCTGTGCAGAATCGGTGCTAGCAACATAATAATCATATTTCTGTGTGCTAAGTCTGGCACCACTTACTGATGTTCGTTGAAATTTTTCTGAAATGGAAAAAATTAATACAATTCGTCAGAGAAAATCAAACCAAATTTATAAAAATAACTATTAACGTGATCAAATATTTCAGTTGTTTTTGAATTGTTTACCTTTAGTAATCCTGCTCTTTGTCAAAAATTACTGCATGTGTTTTCTAGCTGCATGTATGTATGTATTCTGCCTGCAGAATATCGACACATGTATTTCAGGTATAAGAAGAGAATAAAAATATTAGGTAAAGTAAAAAGTTCGTTCGGTTTTTATCTAAGAGATGGCGTTATTGTCCATAGTATTAGTGTTACGTGTCGCATCATGTCATACTATACGGCGCTGAAAACGTGTTTATTCGCGCTAAAAGTTTGTCTTTGACAGTTTTTCGATTGATTCACTCAGTTCATTGTGAGCGCTCGTCAAAGATGGACACCAACAAAGAGAAAATTCGCTATATTTTACAATTTTTCTTCGATCCAAGCGAAAAAGCAGCCAAAGCGGCTGAAAATATTAATTTAGTTTATGGGCCCGATACTGTAAACGAACGTGTAGCACAAAAGTGGTTTGCTAGGTTCCGTTCCGGTAATTTCGATGTCAAAGATGCACCACGCGTCGGGAGGCCTGTCGTCGAAAATTGCGATAAAATCATGGAAATAGTGGAAACAGACCGTCACGTGAGCACTTATTTAACTGCTGAGGAACTAAAGATAAGCCAGAAAACCGTTTGGAACCATTTGCATAACCTTGGATTCAAAAAGGAGCTCGATGTTTGGGTGTCACACGAACTAACGCAAAAAACATGATGGACCGAATTTCCATCTGCAAATCGCTGCAGAATCGCAACAAAATCGACCCGTTTCTGAAGCGGATTGTGACTGGCGATGAAAAATGGGTCACTTACGATAACATCGAGCGCAAACGGTCGTGGTCACAGCTTGGGGAAGCGGCCCAGACGGTGGCCAAGACCGGATTGACGGCCAGGAAGGTTCGGCTGTGTGTTTGGTGGGATTGACAAGGAATCATCTGCTACGAGCTGCTCCCATATGGCCAAACGCTCAATTCGGCCCTCTACTGCCAACAACTGGACCGCTTAAAGGCAGCACTCATCCAGAAGAGGCCGCCATCTTTGATCAACAGAGGCCGAATTGTATTCCATCGGGGCAACGCCAGGTCACACACGTCTTTGGTGACGCGCCAGAAGCGCCGGTAGCTCGGATGGGGGTCCTACTGCACCCACCTTATAGTCCGGACCTGGCACCAAGTGATTACCATCTTTTCCTGTCCATGGCGAACGCGCTTATTGGTGAGAAGTTAGCCTCAAGAGAGGCCTGTGAAAATTGGCTCTCCGGTTTGCCAATAGGGACGCAGCCTTCTACGAGAGGGGTATAATGAAGTTGGCATCTCGTTAACAACAAGTTTACGAACAAAACGGCGCATATTTGACTTAAATCGGACAAATGCACACAAAGTTATCATCTTTTGAAAAATCAATAAAAAACCGAACGAACTTTTTACTTTACCTAACATATAAGGGTTTGCTATTGACTATAAGAAAAGGCTTGATAAATGAATGAAAGGTGGCAATACTTCAATCTCTTAAGCTGTAATTTTTTGGCTGTGAACTTTTGTGTTTTTATTTTATAAATTCTTCAAGTTTAATTGATTTTTTTTTACTGATTTAATACAATTTTTAGTGATTTAACTCTGAGTTGCAAGATAAGTATTAAATGTTCCTAAGTTTTGTGCAGTATTAAAAAGTTTAAACTTTCGAATTTTTGATGCCGAGTCAGCTTTTTGTTTCATTTTGTTTCATTATACTCTCGCAACCTGTTGCTACAGAGTATAATAGTTTTGTTCACCTAACGGTTGTTTGTATCACCTAAAATTAATCGAGTTAGATATAGGGTTATGTATATATAAATGATCAGGATGAAGAGACGAGTTGAAATCCGGGTGACTGTCTGTCCGTCCGTCCGTCTGTCCGTCCGTCCGTCCGTGCAAGCTCTAACTTGAGTAAAAATTGAGATATCTTTATGAAACTTGGTAGACATGTTTCATGGTACCGTGAGACGGTTGGTATTGCAGATGGGCGTAATCGGACCGCTGCCACGCCCACAAAACGCCATTAATCAAAAACAAATAACTTGCCATAACTAAGCTCCGCAATAAGATACAAGACTGTTATTTGGTACACAGGATCACATTAGGGAGGGGCATCTGCAGTTAAAATTTTTTTTTAAAAAGTGGGCGTGGTCCCGCCTCTAATAGGTTTAATGTGCATATCTCCTAAACCGCTAATGCTATAATAACAAGATTCACTGGAAGCAAATGTTTTTAGCACTTCTATTGACGGTGTGAAAATAGTTGAAATCGGGTGGCAACTCCGCCCACTCCCCATATAACGGTACTGTTAAAAACTACTAAAAGCGCGATAAATCAAGCACTAAACACGCCAGAGACATTAAATTTTATCTCTGAGATGGTATAAGATGACTTTATAGGAACCGCGTTCAAAATTAGACAGTGGGCGTGGCACAGCCCACTTTTAGGTGAAAACCCATATCTTGAGATCTGCTCAACCGATTTCAACCAAATTCAGTGCATAACGTTCTTTTCATGTTTCTATGTCATAGTGCGAAATCGGACTACAACCACGCTTACTTCCCATGTAACACCATTTTCAATTCCATCTGATTCTTTCACATTCCACTATGCAAATCAGGTAAAAATGATTATATCGGGGTAAAACTTTGCGTGAATAATGCAATTAAAGTATGCCACCTTGCGGCCAAAAATTGTCTAAATCGAACCAAAACTGTTCAAACCCCTAAGTACTAAATATGTGGACCCCAGTGCCTATAGTTGACCTTCTACCGAAAATATCAGTCAATCCACAAAGAAATCTCAAACGAGTATACCATTTGACCTTGCGAGAGTATAAAATGTTCGGTTACATCCGAACTTAGCCCTTCCTTACTTGTTAAAACTGTCTTGGTTTTAAACTTTGATAAAAAAATTGCTATTATTTTTGCGTTTGTTCTTAATTGAATTTATTATTATTAATATTTTATTAACACACTAATTTATTATATATCTATTAGATTTTGTTTCACTTACTATTTTATTTGATCTTCATTCTTGTTGTTTATTATGTCTTGGAACTTCCCCAATTGTAACATTAAAGGCTAGTCAGATCGCTACGTTTCATGCTGGCTTTGTTATGGGCTTGCCCATATTAAATGTGCTGGAATGGCAGGTAGAATCTTAGATTCTATTCTCGACTGTAAGGGATTGCGTTGGTCCTGTTTAAATTGTAGATCTATTGAAATCGATCTATTTAAAGTTTATAAGGAGACACGCAATGGCTTTAACGAAATCGGTCGAGATCTTGTAACCCTCACTGAAAAATTTAGGCACTATAAAAATTGTTCAAATCTTTTAAGTGCCTGAATGATTCTCACGAATCCTTTAAACCTGCTCCTAAGCGTAAACGTCCTTCCGATGAAGTAACACTTAGTTCTTCTGTACTGAAAAGAACGTCTCCTCCCAATGACCTAATAAATCTCTCTTCTCCTTGCCCTCAAGGTGATAAGCCGTCAACTTCCAAAGAGCTCAATTCCCCAAAAGCCCTATCTAATAGTAATAAGTGTCTCACAATTCCAGAGGCCCCCCCTAATAACTTAGTAGCATCAGTTAATAATTTGATAGTTTTTCCACCTAAAAAGTCTATATTTATTTCGAGACTTGCCACAGATACCTTGGTGGAGGACATTAAATATTTAATTTCGTCACGTTTAAAAATCGATGATATCAATATCCGTAAATTTAACTTCAATTATGATAGAAGTATGTCATCGTTTAAAATAGACGTATCTCTTGAAACATTCAAAAAGATCTTAGATAGTTTATTCTGGCCACCTGGGGCTTTTGTACGCGAATTTAAACCTAAACTTAGAAGTCAAACTGAGGAAAACATTGTTAAATTACCAAAAGCAACCACCGATTTAAAAAAACTGATTGGTAGAAATTCGCTAAGCATTTATTATAAAAATGTTAGAGGTCTTAATACAAAATTAAGCGACTTGTATTTAAACAGTTCCAATTTTAATTTCCATATAATTGGATTTACAGAAACTTGGTTAAAACCTCACATTTTTGATAATGAGATTTTAAACAGCGAATTTCAAATTTTTAGATGTGATTGACTGAACGGAATCGAGGGAGGTGTTCTATTTGCTTTAATGAGTTTTTCGAAAAAATGTCCAACTTGGGTCTGAACCAAATTAATTTGATTCCGAATAAATTTGATAAATGCTTAGATTTAGTATACGTTGATACCTCTACAAAGTGTTCCGTTA